CTCTGCTCTCAGACTCACTCGATCTCGCTCTGCTGGCTCACTATCGCTCTCCCTCTGCTCTCTGCTCTCTGCTCTCACCCTGATCTCTGCTCTCTGCTCTCTCTGCTCTCTCTCTCTCTCTCTCTCTCCGTGGTATGACATTTAACCCTAATTTTATGTATTTATTTTTTGTGTTTGTGAAAATGTGATGTGTTTTAATTTGCTGTGAATGTTAGGGTTTTATATGTGAATTATTAAATGTGTTAGGGTTTGGAATGTTTTGAATTTGTTTGTGGAATTAGGGTTTAGAAATTAGGGTTTGTGGAATTTTTTGAATTTTTTTTTGAAATTAGGGTTTGGAATTTTTTGAAATCAGAAATCAGGGTTTGGAAATCCGAAATCAGAAATATGAATGCTTTTGAATTTGTGGAATTTTTTATGCTTTTGAATTTTTGGATGTTGCTTGTGAATTGAATATTTGGGTTTGGATTTTTTACGCTTTATCAGTGTAGTGTGGTTATGAAATTAGGGTTCTAATGATAGTTGTTGCTCGATATCAGATTGTTCACACATCCTTTTAGAATGACATTTTAGGCTTCACATTATTAAGGGTTGTAATGATTATGAATTTTTATGCTTTTGAATCATAAATCAGGTTTGGAATTTTTTTAATTTTTTTAATTTTTTAAATAAATCATAAATATGAGAATTGAGAATTGAGAATTGGAAATTGGAATTATGAAATTCATAAATTCATAAATCATAAATATGTTAATGTCATATTATGAAATTCATATAATTGAGAATTGAGAATTGAGAATTGAAATTATGAAATGTTTATATTTTGAAATTTGAAATCAGAAATTGGGATTTTGAAATTATGCTTGTGAATCAAAATGTTTATATTTTGAATTTTGAATAAACCAATTTATATTTGTTGAATTGGAAATTGTTTTTTTTTTTTTTTTGCTTGTTAAGAGGAATTAAAAGGAAATTAGGGTTTGACATTAGGGTTTTAAAAGTAAATTTTTTTTTAATTAAGAATCGTGATTAAAAAATCCGAAATTCATATAATTGATAATTGTTAATGTTATATTATGAAATTCATGTAAATGAGAATTGTTGAATTGAAATTATGAAATGTCTATATTTTGAAATTTGAAATCAAAAATTGGAATTTTGAAATTATGCTTGTGAGTTTTTTTTTTTTTTTTTTGAAATTTGAAATCAGAAAATGGAACATCCTACGTTACAAGTGACATTTGACATGCACACCTTACATTAGTTGCATGCATTCGGCACTCCGAACACACACGATAGACTGAACCACACAACCCTACCTCCCACTACAAAATCTTTGTGTACTGATTCTCCTCTGTCCAAAAAATGTGGGATTACAGATTCCAAATATAATCAAAACATCCCAACAAATGTGCTAGGGTATTTTTGGCAAACAAACACTAGCATCATTTAAAAAAGGACCTGTTGGTAACAAGTCCCGCGTATGGAGGACCTTAGAATCAAACAATAATTACGTGGGACCAAATGGATCACATGTTCCTACCGTCGGACTTTCTAATAAATTTTCCTTAAAATTATCCATCTCTTTTAAATTATATCATTTATTCTATGTTTGAATAGACGCACAATAACAAGTAAAAAATTAACAAAATTCTATCAATTCTTATAATTTCATCAATTAATCCAAAACTTTCTCTCATCTCTCACTTTGTAACTCACCTCTCCAGTGGTGGAGTCAAAACAATAGTTCAAAAGGACACTTATTAATTAAAATTTAAATTTTTTCCCCTCATAATCAATAACAATAGATATTAATTTTTTAAAATTAATATTAAGCATAGAATCTTAAACATTTAATATAAAAGTTCTATTTTTTTATTTTATGTTTTTTGCAATTGACTTTGTGAAAAATCAAAATTGGAAATATGCTAGTACAATATAACTAGTATATTATAGGCAATGTAAAAGAGTATTATATGTCTAATGATAGATTATATAATAATATATAAATAATAGTGATATCATATCATTATCAATATATGGTATTACTAACCACTAGTAAAATAACGCATGGAAAGTTAATCACACTTGTCAAATATAACTAACAATTCAATAATTATACATTTTCGTAGTGAGGTTAATTATGTTTAAATGTAAGTGATACTTTGGTATTGTTGTTATGCTGAATTTTTTTTATAAAACTTTCATATAATTTTTTTATTTTCAATCAAAACAATCATTATTATTTTTATAATTAAAAAAATGTCATTAAGAAATCATTTTAAATGTTATTTTTATATAAATATTATATTTGTTAATTATTTTCCTTATATGCGTGCGCACACAAAAAAGTTTTTACAAATTTGAAGGGGGCATCTGCTCCCCTAGTCTTTTCAAAAAAAATTTTACAAATTTGAAGGGGGCATCTGCTCTCCTAGTCTTTTCATAGATCCGCCACTAACACTCATGGACCTCTCAAATTTTCTTAAATTAAGTGTGACAGCAATGATGATGTCGATAGAGGGGAGGGCTTTAAATTAGACAAAAATACTTAGCTTCGGCAACTATAGTAGTGGTGGTGGTGGTTAGGTACGTGATGCACTTTTCAAGGTCCAAGTTGAATATACCTTAGTATTGCGGTGTGAACTAATTTTACAATTGTATCGGCCAATTCCGTTATATATGGGATCGTAATTGTTACGGTGAATTGCTACATCTTGATATGGGGTGCGATTATAGGTGTAAAAATGACCCACAGTCTATGGGTGGCATAAAACTCGCTTGCAGCCTGGGCTCAAGCCCAACCCGGAATTCTGGGCTTGGGCTTGGACCTTCATTTTAAAGTTCGGATTGGCCCGTGGGCCCAGTCAACCTGTCCTAGCTCGTGGCCTAGCCCATTAGTCGGCTCAAGGCCCACTCAAAGCCCAGTCTGAGACCTGGCTTGCCCAAGGCCCAGTGTCATTTTTGGTGGCGAGTGGCATTTCACCCCTAACCACAACTAGTCTTAAACTATTTTAATTAATAGTCCATAGCAATTTCGTGGGTAAGAAGGAAAAAAAAAATGGCACTTTGATGGGCAAGCTTGTGTTTCGTAATACCAAATAATTGGTACGGATGGCCCGATAGATTCACATGGATAACTATTCAAAATTTAGTCCATACATTTAACCACTAACTTCAATTTAATTCTCTCTAATGGGTATTGAACGAAGTGACTTATCGCCACTTCCGCTTTGTGACTGTTCACCACCATTGAAAAGGAAAATCTAAACATTATGTTTTAATAATTTTTATTTTTATTTATATAATTACAAGTCATTATTAGACTAGTTATAATATATGCATGAAAAGAGTCTTAAACTATTTTAATTAATAGTCCATAGCAATTTCGTGGGTAATAAGGAAAAAAAAAAAATTGGCACTTTGATAGGTAAGCATGTGTTTCGTAATACCAAATAATTGGTACGGATGGCCCGATAGATTCACATGGTTAACTATCTAAAATTTAGTCCATACATTTAACCACCAACTTCAATTTAATTCTCTCTAATTTTTGGCCATTATAAATTATCTCTCTAATTATTTTTTTGTTTTTGTATGTTTAAGAAAAAAAGGAGTAAATAAATTAAAATTTTTTTCTTATTTTTCAGAACGATCCAAAATGAGCTTTTGTTTTAATTTTATAAGAAAGCCTCTATGACCTCTACAAAGAGGACGAGGGTTAGTAGTTGACATAGGAAATAACTTTGTCATTAAGGTCCCTAAGCACAAGTTTGAGCAAATCAAATTAACTTATATTGTCCATGAATCTGAAGAATTGGATCACCAGTTTTAAAAAATTAATAACAATGTTTGCAACTTCTATTTTATATTGTCCAAATCAATCGCGTTCTTTCAATTCAATGGAAGAAATATTTAATTATCTACAAAACTTACACTATGATTTAAGATGTTTGTATGATTTCTCCAATTTTATCCAGTCTCACTGCATAACAAAAATTCTTCATACAATGAAGTGTTTTTTAAATGTGTGATATATCTGTCTACCTTATGAAAATACTAAAAAATAGATCAAGATTTATGAAAAGAAAACAAAATACGTGTTCTTAAAATTGGTCCCGGTTACATGCGTACGATTAAATCATTGCCTAAATTAACGGTTGTGTAGAGTTGTTATTATTATTTATTTATTTATTTATTTTCAGTGAATGCCTTTTACAAATTGATCATATTAAGGGAGGGATCACATATGAAGCTATTGCTGCAATGTGATTCAAAATTTATTTTTCGCCACTAATTCAAAAGAATTAACACAAGAAGTATACTTGTTGTGATGTTTTTTTTAAATTAAGACAAGAGAGCAATGACAACAAAGAACATTCACGTAGAGAAGATAGGAGTATATGGCAACTGTTCCAATTATCTTCTACTGGGAGGGAAACATAATTCGGGATCCCGATGAAGGTGTGTCATATGATGCTGAGCCGAAAGGGATATATGGGGTGCAACTTGGCACCACACTTGGCAATTTGGAGGAGATGTTTATGCCCAAGGTGGCAAGTTACGGGGAAACAGTCCGATTGATCTGCAAATGTAGATATCCTTATCGCCAGTGGCAAGCAACCAGCAAATACAAAATATTACCGATAAATGACGATGAGGCGTTGAACACCATAATAAGTATCGGTGGAAGTTTCCAACCACCTAATTGTTTGGAAGTGTACATTGAGAAAGAGATTGAACACAATCTTCCGAATATAACACAGATGGATCCTCATCCGTTCACTACATTGCTGACACATGGGATTGACATGACAGCGTTTCAGTCTCCTATGTATGAATCAAGTGAATGTTATGCAGCTGGCTACACACAACAGACATTTCATGGCCATGGTGGGGAATCAAGTTCACGTGGCGGATACGAGACTGAATTTCACAATAACACTGAAGATGTGCCCACCTACAGCCATCATACCACTCCAATTGAAGTTGCTGGTAATATGGCTGAAACGGTTAATTCTATGCAGTTTGTTGACAGTGACATGTACGGTCCTGATGTCGCCCTAGACAATGATGAGAATGAAATGTGCGATGAAGAAAATGTATTGGGCGGATCAAATGATGATGATGATGAAGATGATGCCGACGCTCCCGTTGATATTCAGAATGCCCCCATTCTCCCTAGACATGAAATCCCTTTCTATGACAACATTCACATGGGTGGTGATTTTGACATTAGTAACCGCGATGCCGTTTCCCGTAACCGAATCTGGAATGCTGAAAATCCAGAGTTGGACAAAGGGATGGTTTTCGTTGATAAGAAGCAACTCTTACATGCTGTGAAATTGTACCATGCAACAAATAATCGAGAGTATAAAGTCGTAACCTCCAAGAGAGACGTTTGGGTGTGTGCTTGCAAGCACGATTGTAGATGGTGGTTGCGTGCATCTCTTAGTAGGATACATGGTCTTTTTGAAATAATGCAGTACAGGGGTCCTCACCATTGTTTATACCCACGAATGAACAGGGACCACACAAATATTAGCTCCAGTTACATTGTTTCTCATCTTTTGGGACAAGTTACGGTGAGTATACAAAATAAATGTTTACATTTATATACATATTTGTTGGTTTAAAGTGTTCACACAAAAATAATCTAACTCATAGGTATTGTCGTATGTAGAATGAACCTGATATGCCCATTAAGAATGTCATCAAAGATATAAAAAAGACCATGAACTATAGTATATCATACAAGAAGGCGTGGCATGCAAGGGCAAAGGCAATTAGAATGGTATTCGGGGATTGGGATGAATCGTATAGGATGTTGCCTAAATTCATGTATGCATTACAAACATCTAATCCTAGCACCATTGTGCAATGGAAGCATAGATATACCGGAAATACAACCATTATGCCCGTCTTCCACTTTGTTTTCTGGTCTTTCAAACCCGTCAAGTCACTTACAAGATCCAGTAGCACAGGGGGTACTGTATTACAACAACATTGGGATGAAGAAGAAATACTCCATAATACAGGGAATAACAGTCCTGAGATTACTTCTAATCTTAATCAGATGGTTGTTGAACATCATCCAGGATCGACCACCGCACTTGATGGAGGATGGTTTGCTCGGATTGCAGCATTGCTCGTGGGTGAGGATCCAACACAGTGTTATGCACTTATATGTGGGAACTGTCATAAACACAATGGTAAGTTGACTGTTTGTTTAGGCTGGAAAATGTTTTTTTGTATTTTCTGGCATTTGGTACAACTGAAATCAAAAGCCAACGAAAAATGTCTACTTGGGCAGAAATTGTTTCCCCTTCTAAAGGTGGAAAACGTTTTTCAAATTGAAGTCTTAATAATGTCACCACACTATTGCCACCACTATCACCACCACTACCACGACCTTCATCACCATCGCCCCACCACCACCACGTTCGCCACACTATCCCATCACTCCCATTTCACTGCTGCCACCACCGCCACTAATGCATCCATTAGTACATTAATTTCAATGATGCAACCTAACATAGGATAACCTTTTTTTCTCAAATAAAAAAAAAAAAAAATCTTGTGTTAAAATAAAGAAAAGAGAGACACTGCCAACCATATACAGTTTAGTTGCAGAATGTGGTGAAAAGAACGAAATAATTTGTCCTCTTTGTTTTTGCATAGGGCTTGCAAGGAAGGAAGATTTCCCATACATAACGTACTATTGCCCCCACTGCAATGCCCTGAATGGGTCAAAACATCCAAATGGTATTTCTGGTTCCGACTTGCCTGGTATGAGCTCCTTGATAACAGGAGGCAATATTGACCCCATCAACAACATTGGTAGAGTTACAATGACTGACACTGACATGACACCTGTAAGTAGTAGCCCAGTGGCTCTATCTGCTGTGGAAACCATTGAAGGAAGCGAAGCGGTTTTGTCTGGGGTTCCAGATCCAGTTAGTTAAAGGCAGACTTCGTGACGCCTGTGCATAGAGCTTCATGTTTTAGGTAACTCAAGAGCGTGTTTTGAGTGCTGGCTGGGACTGTAAATGAGTTTGTTTTTGGTTGTGTAACGTTAGGTTTGTTAATTGCAATCCTAGTTTGCTAGGGTGTCTATGCCATTTTAAGTAATAGCTTCTTGGCAAAGTGCTTACGTTGCTCTTTATGTTGTGATTCTGAAAGTACATCTATATACAAGTAGGCCTTCATTGCCACTTGAGATCAAATATCAAAAGAAATGGAAAAAAGTTACTTTTGTTGGTAATGTTTTCGTGAAATCACGGTCTTTTTTATTGTTGTTAGGCGGTTAGTTCTTTTAAACTTTTATTTTACCTCCTATTTCTTCTTCTTGGTATTCTTTTATTTTCCTTTTCGTTATTTTCTTCCTAGCTTTTGAATGAGAAGTAAACTTTGTTTAGTTTTGTTTTGTTATAGATAGGCTGTATTTGTTTGGAGGGATTAGAAGAGGACAAAGGTGGAAGTGTGGATGGAGATGTAGCATCTAAAAAGTATAGGCCACCATGTGCGTCACCACTGCTAATTATCCTCCCCGTACCTAGCTTTTGAAAGATGTGATGTGTTAAAAAGAATGTGAGAACAATCTTCTGTGTAAATAAAATAACTAGAAATAAATTCAAACAAAATAAATAAATAACATACCGGATTTATTTTGTCGAACAAAATAAAAATTACAAGACCAAGTCGAGTGTTAACTCGAATTACAAAATATGCTTGCTAGGCGAAATTTCATTTGTATATGTCAGACACATTCTATACACTTACCCAAGTGTTGAGTGCTGGATACGGGTACTCCATACAATTAAAAAAGAGTCCATCCAACACAGGTACTTGTTATTGGATATATATATTATTATCAACAATGAGACATTTTATTAATAAAAGGAAATGTGAAAAAGAGTACAAGAGGGAGGATAAGAAGTCCACCAAAGAAAAAGGAAAGAAGAAAACAAAATTTCATCTCACAAACAGCTCTCCAATTCACACATCCAAAGAACTCCTGCTTTCCTATTACTGTCAAAGCCCCTATAATCAATGTGAAGTATTTGAATACATCAGAGTGAAGCCACACATTCCATCTCCTTCATGTAAGCAACAAGGCATGAAAGAATAAGCGGTCCATGTTTTCCTCATCCCTTCTACACAAGACACACCATTGAGGAAGTAGTAAGATATAATTAGGTCTCCTTTAAATCATGTCATTGGTGTTAAGCTTCTTATGAGCTAGAGACCATGCAAATATTTCAACTTAAGATGCACACATGCTGCCCAAATCAACTTGTGACAGGTACATTTAGATTGTCAATAATATTTCAAAAAAGACTTGCAATAGAATAATCCTGAAGAATGAATAATCCACACCCTTTCGTCAATAGCCTTGCACTGAAAGACACTCTCTCAAGGTAGGCAACAAAGAAACCAATTCATCATCTTCCCAATCGTTTATATTCATAGCAAAAATCAAATTTCCAAGTAATTGGCGTCAAGAAGAAGCCACAGAAACAATGAACATTGTGAGACAAAGATACAACCGCTGGAACAAAAGATCAAATGAATCTCCTCCTATCAAACATCCTCTCAAAAGCGAATACTCTCTCCATTTGCAGGTGAAAAATGAATGAAACGAAAAAATTAAGATCCTGAGAAATACATTCCAAGGAGAACAGTCTCAGCGCAGACACAATTAATGCACCATAACGTAGAACAGCTGAATGATTGCACACTTAGTGCAATATACTCGCGATGCTGCAGATTCACTAATATAGATAATACTCAAATCTATTATATTATCACTAGACACTCATTTGCTAGAATCGAATGGCACTTAGAATGCAGACTTTTCACGGGATTCATCAGTTCAGTGGTATGTGCCGATAAT